AAAGGAGAATGACAGAAAAAGACCCAAAGTTGACCTCTGGTCTGTACCCACCCCACACAAGAATCCTTGACTGTCACCATCTACTGAGGATAATTATACCAGGGGCTGGCCCAGCCAAGCAGATGGAAGCATGCACTTCCTGTCACACTGGAGCACGCTCCTGCTCATCGCCCACAAGCCCCTTAGCTTCTACCGCAATCCTGTTCCCCAGGTAAGGTGAGGAGCCCTTGCTTGACCAGTGACAAACAGCTGGCAGCCCATCCCTACAATGCCAGAATCCAGGTCTGCCTCTGGCCCCCGACAGATCTTCCCAGCCCTGGGTGATGCTAGGCTGGGAAGCAGTCACAGGCGGAGTGGCTGGCCTCAGGCAGCAGCTCTCCCACCCACACATGGCAGAGGCTAGGTCCAGGCTGGGACGGGAACTGGAGCCATGTGGGACCCTGCACCAAGCTTCAATTATCCCAGCACACATCTAGAGAACCTGCTGGGCTGGAAACAGGCCCGGCTATTTCTAACTCTGCCTTGGACCCCTCCTGCCTGGGAATTTGCTGTGGGAAAAGAAAATGAACAGGAAGTGGCCAGTGGCTGGGGTTGGGGTGACCTTGCCTGAGCCTGACTCGGTCTTGACAGACCCCCATGCCGTCCTACCTGCACTGCACTGGGCAGGGGGACTTCTCAAGGCTGCGGGGGCCTGACATGTTTGGAGAATCAGAGGAGCCTCTGCCCTGGGAAGGGGCCTAGTGCCAATAAGGCCTGGGAATGGGCAGACATTGGTGATCCCAAGGCTCAGAAAGACCACAACACTTTAGGTTGCTGCAAGTGGACCTGTGCTCCCTTGCCAGGGGAGGAGCCTGTGCCTGGGACCCTGCCTCCTCCCTTGTGAGGCCCAGCTGCCCTGCCACTGTGGGTAATGCTGGAGAACTGTTCTGCAGCTCTGCCAGGGGTGCAGCAGACAGAACCCCAGTGTCAGCTGAGGGTGCGCACAGGTGGGGATCATTTGTGGGCCATGGCTGAGACTCCCAACAGGGCCCTGCAGCAGCTATAATTATCTTCACCTGACGTGAGGAAGCAGCCACAAAGGCAGGCGGCTGGCAGCACTGGTGCATGCGGCAGTGCTCTGAGTCAGGGCATGTCCGGTGTGGGGTTCCTGCACTCATTTCCACAACTGCATAGAGAGGGACCACAGGCTAAACAGGCCCAGGTAGGAGGAGGAGGAGGCAGGACATAGGGCAGGCTGAGGCCATGTTACACATGGCTTTGGAGAAAAGTGGAGCCCGGATCCCAACAGCAGGCAAGAAACATTTCCTGGTCTCTTGCCAAGCTACCCACAACACCCAAAGCTGCCCACAGTGCAATGGCGTGGGCCATAGGAGCCTGGGAAGAGGAGAATGGGGGTCCCTATTGGCTGTTTCAGATCTTGCCATGGAGAGACAGCTGACCCACTACTACACTATGTACAAGAAGATTGGGGAACACACTCCCTTGGTAAAGTGCCTGCCTTGCAAGCACGAGGACCTGCATTCAATTCCCAGAACTCACATGGAAAAGCCAGGTGTGAGACAGAGGCAAGACTAAACCAAAACCAAACTAAACAAGGTGTGGTGGTGTGCACTTTGCAATCTTAGCTCTGAGGAGGCAGAGAGAGGTTGATCCCTGGGGCCTACCTACCTGCCAGTGCAGCCTTCTTGGCAAGTTCCAAGGCAGAGAGAGACTGTCTCAAAAATAAAATGATGGCCAGGCATGGTGGTGCATGCCTTTCCAGCACTCGGGAGGCAGAGGCAGGTGGATCTCTGTGAGACTGAGGTCAGCCTGGTCTATATAGTGCATTTCAGGCCAGCTGCGGCTACAGGCAGACCACGTCTCAAAAAGCCAAAACAAACAAACAAAAAAACCCAACCCCCCCACCAACACTCCCCCCCTGAAAACAACAAGAAAAGATGGCTAAACCTGAACAACAAAAGGAAGTTGTCATCCAGCCTGTCTGCCACGTGTGCACATATGGACACTGGCATATACACATATACATTTTACAACAGAACTGTACAAGGGGCATTTTGCTCCTGGGCTGCCCTTGGAACATGGTGCAACTATGCTTTTTCTATCTCCAAGATATGCCAGAGCCCCCACTCCCTACCTAAGGTTACAGGACATTGAGTCCTGTAACACCATGTACCAAGTCCTGCACCAGCCCACCAAGTGGCACGGTCTCTGGTCAAATACCAAGCAACACACAGCCCCTAACACAGCTTCCACCAGGCCATGCCACTGTCTGCCAGAACTTGCAAACATTCTGTGACCTCTCGAAAGTCAGGTGATGAAGGAGGGCCCCTGTGGCTACAGGGGTCTGCGGTGAATACAGGAACAGAGAGATAGCTATGGGCCTGAAGCAGCACTCCCCACTGGCCACCTTGATGTTGAGGCTATACTGAGCCCTGGGATTCTGGGAGAGGATGCTCAACAGGCTCGTCTAGGGAAGGTGTCCATCAGAAGACCACATATGGCAAGGGAGTTGCCTGAGGCAGGGAGGGCTTGTTTTCTCTGAGCCCCAGGTTGAATTTGGTTACTTGCTTCCCTATGAGGCTAGGCTCTGTTGGTATCTTCAAGGCAGAATTCCTGGGTGCCCTCTGGGTCGACCCACAGATATCAGGTGAATGGTGAGTATGCTCATGGCTGGCTAGGCAATGCCAAGGACAGCTGGTGGGCAGGATAACTAAGACTGGGACAGGCAGGTGTATTTTGGCCACCTATCATGGTAAATGATGAATTGGGTGAGTGTAGGGACACTGTGCACTAGGCAAGGCCAGCGGCCACACTTGCCCTTACTCCATATATGCTGCAGAGACTGTGGCTGGCAGTGGGTCACCGTCATAATCCACCAGTAAGTAGCTGGGGGTGTGGTTCAGTGGAAGAGCGCTTGCCTTGAATCCCCAAGAGAGGAGCTGGTGGCAGGACCAGTGGTAGAGCACTTGCCTAGACTTTCCCAGGGAGGGGCTGGGGTATAGCAAAGTGGTAGAGCACTTGCCTAGACTTTCCCAGGGAGGGGCTGGGGTATAGCAAAGTGGTAGAGCACTTGCCTAGACTTTCCCAGGGAGGGGCTGGGGTATAGCAAAGTGGTAGAGCACTTGCCTAGACTTTCCCAGGGAGGGGCTGGGGTATAGCAAAGTGGTAGAGCACTTGCCTAGACTCTCTTAGTGAGGGATTAGGAGCGTGGATCAGCACTTGCCTAGAATCCCCCAGTTGAGGGGCTGGAGTCATGGCTCAGCAGTAGAGTACCTGCTAAGAATCCCTCAGTGAGGGGCTAGGGGCGTGGCGCAGGGGCAGCATACTTGTCTAGCATGCAGGAAGCCCTAGGTTCCATATCCAGTACTGCCAAAACCCCAAAACAAAACAAAAAAATCAGAATACTTTGCAATGCCAACTAGAATTCCTAACCTAGAAACGCTGATATAATGATGTGTCCAACAGTGACTGCTTCTAAGCACATCTTCATTTGACAATCTTTCTCAAAACACACAGAATTCCTACACTGCATTAAATTAAATACCCATCAGTGATCCTGAGTTATTCAAAAGTACACAGAAGTGAAGAAATGTATTTGTGATCGCTTACTGACTTAAAGACTCTGGGCGTTCAAATATTTATTTATTTAGTAAAAGATTGCAGGATTGTAAGAAGCGTAAAAATGGATAGATGTAGTCTGAGAAGTTCAAGAACTCTCCAAGGCATGCCATGAAGCTGTAGGCAATAGTGGGTGCCACAGCTGATGCACCTCTGGCCACCAAGCTGGGCAGCGTCCCTCAGAAGAGGACAGAAGCACAGATGGATGGAAGCAAGGAGAAGTAGGCCGCTGGTCAACTGGCAATTTCCAGGGCAGGGACAGCTTTGTTTTCACACTGGGGATAGCTTTTAGATAGGACTGGGCTGGTTCCTGTTTCTTCAGGGGCACACAGCCTGGCTGTTGACAGCCACAAGTGGTGAAGCCTGTTACCATGTGTCCTGACTACCCATTGACTGGATACCCTTCCTGAAACAGCCACATAGTACATAGGAACCACAAGCCACACCGGGGCCATATGCCACACAGGCAACACTACACCATTCCACAAACAGGAAGTCAGGTTGCCAGCAACCATAGGTAAGCCCTTGCTACCCAGATTTCCAGCTGTCTCCCACCCTGCTCCCAACATGGGACAGCCCCACTTCTGCTGGAGCCATCTACTCTCAGAACCAGTGACCACGGCAGGCCTGGCCACATCCTGTGCACACTCAGCAGGCTACGCTGCTCCTGCTGCAATAAGACCTTCTTGGGGAGCCCCCAGCCTACCCTGTCATAGGCCCACACTACGGACAAGACAGCCACAAGTTCCTGCTTCATGATGGCCACTGTCCAACCCCTCTGCTTACAGGCACTGTGCAGCCACCTACAGGCTTGGCCCTGCTGCCTCTGGTCATGCGGTCAGCTTTTCCTTTTTTGGGGGGGTCTTTTTGAAGAAGCGTCTCCCTGTAGCCCCAGCTGTCCTGGAACTCACTATGTAGACCAGGCTGGCCTTGAACTCACAGAGATCCGCCTGCCTCTGCCTCCCAAGTGCTGGGACTACAGGCGTGTGCCATCATGCCCATTCCTTGCCCCCCCCCCCCGCAGAGCTGAGGACCGAACCCAGGGCCCTGTGCTTGCTAGGCAAGCGCTCTACCACTGAGCTAAATCCCCAACCCCGTTCATTTATTTTTTTATGGGTCATGCCACACACTGACCCCTGGAAGAGGTCTGATAGCAATACGGGTGTCCGCCATGCCCCTCACAGTCCTCTAGATAAAGCCGAAGTGCCCCCAACCTGTAAGGTGGGCCCAGTGGAGACTGAAAAACGAAGAAGCCAAGCAGTGATGGCTCCAGGCCAGCACCCATCGAGGGTGGCAAAAGGACCACATGACTCATCATCTGACCCCCCCGAGTGGGGAGGAGAGCTGCCCACGACTGTGCGAGCAGGCACAGCATTGCCTACCTTGAAGATGAGGCAGTCGGTCTGGTGCTCAGCATACTGGGAAGTGAGCCGGTATTGGCTCTCAGTGGTCACATCGATCTGGTAACCAGTCAGTGTATAACAGACCTTTCGAAACTCCTGGATTTTGGTCTGGAAAACTTCCTTGAGCCGCTGGTTCTTCAGCTCCGCGCTTTCCACCTGCTTCCGCAGCTCTGCAGAGAGAGGGGGCAGGGTGTGAGTGCCACCAGTGTGCTGGGAGGATGGCTGGGGTGGGGGTGGGTGGGAGGACCATCTCAACCCCAGCCACCACTGCCTGAGGACAGCTGAGGCAGCTGCCCCATCTGTGAGCCCTAAAGAACCAGGAGAAAAGGGACGAGGCAACAGATAAGCAGTGTGGTGGTAGTGGTAATGAAGTCACCGTATTAACAATGGTGACTCAAAGAAAACAGTGACTAGGAAAGACAGATGCTGTGGCTAGATACCAGGCTAGTACAATGACAATGGCCCATGTGACTTCACCCCTGGTTACTGTTAGGAAGCACTGTGGGGCAGAGTTGGTCATGACTCAGGGGTGACTGGGTCCCCACCTCCCAACAAGTTCCAGAGCTGGCTGGAGGAGGGAGCCCCAGGAGTCCAGGTCTGCCATGGAAGGTTGAGGGTCACCTGCCACCCTGGGCAATGAAACTACCTCCAGACTGTATTCTGAACTCCTATCTGGACACTTTAGGCCATTTTAATTTATGGGGTTATGGGGTCTACCTGCTGGTCACCTATGATGAGGACACCAGCCCCTCTATCTCGCAGCAGGGTCTGGGGAGACTCCAGCTAGCCCTGCCTAGGAAACTCCCATCTCTCATGTGTGTCTGAGTATATCACTCAGGGCAGAACATCCCCCCATCACCACCATTTCTGGCCCACCATAGTTAACTGGCACTCGGGGAGAAGCCAGCTGCGCAAAGCCACCAGGAGCACACACAATTACCATGAATCTCTCACCAAAGGTGCCTGCTGAGTAATTAGACCCTGATTTACGTCCCCATTAATTACTGAGCCTGGCTTCACTTATGCACACACAGGGAACTGTTTCTGAGCTGAAGGTCCTGCCTGGAACTCATGAGGGGGCATCCCATAGGCCCAGACTATCAGACTTAGGTATGTGGGGGTGTCCTGAGCCTCCCTCCACTGTGGGTTGAATCAAAGCACAGGCTGGGTGGAAGAAAGGGAAGTTAACATTAGCTATGATGTGTGATCAGGAGTACAAGGGAGATGGGGTGCCTCCAAGGAGGATGATCCCTGACCACCTGGGAAAGGTGGCCCTAAGTCAAATGAACCCAAAGGTTAAGAGGCTCTGTGGACCAGGCCCGGCCCAGGTCCCTGAAGAGCCTGCTCTGGAAGAAAGGGTGAGAAAAGGCATGAACTGGAGGTCTCCAATCAGGCCTGAGGCAGTGAGGAATGTAAGCGTGTGCCCTGCACACTGTATGCTCAGAGTGCTTAGGGGGTACATGGAGTCTGGTGGCCTCCTGCAAGAGATGAGTGGTACTGGGTGGCTGCCTTCCAGGAGAGCCATGAGAACAACAGGAGCCTTGAGTTACCCTGAGGAAAAAAGACCAGGGAGGGCTGGGTCACCACTCAGCTGTGCCACCTCTGTCCCCACACCATCTCCCAGGATAGAGCAGCACGTGGCTGTCCTCAGACATGGTCTCAAGGATCTAGCCAGGGCATGCACTGGAGGCCAGCCAGGCATGGAAAGCGAGGCTTGCAGACACCCAGGAATGTCGCAAGCTGGGCCTCCCATCTCATATGCACAAACTCACTTCAAGCCACTCTGCTGTGACAGTTTTGCATAGCTATCTTCTTCCAAACTAAAGGTATTCTCTCCAGGAAGGAGGCTCTTTGGGGAGTAAAGAAAACTTGTAAAGTTCCAGAAGATGAGAAACTTTCAGGATTCACAAGGCCCCACCCCAAAGTTAGTTATAGAAGCAGCAGCAATTGTTGGAAGAGGAGACTCTCCAAGGGACTGAGCTGTCTCCAAGTCATGTGACAGCTCCAGGGATGCAGCTTTCCTGAGCTGTCACCCATGCCGGGGTGGCTTTTCAGTAATGTACCTTTGAGTTACTCACGCGCTACAAGTAACCCCAGTGGACTCAATGGTTCAATAAGCAGGCTTGGGTGGAATTGTGGCTTTGGTCTGTCATGGGTTTCCTATCTGGGGTGAACAGAGTTTTTTGTTTATGCTTCCCAGGAAAAGTCACATAATGTCCAAGGATGAATATCTCCCCCCCAACCCCCCCACTTCTCTCTAGCTTGGGGCTAGAGAGATAGTTCAGTGGTTAAAGGCACTGGCTGCTCTTGCAGAGGACCTGGGTTTGGTTCCCAGAACCCACATGGCAGCTAACAACTAATTTTAACTACAGTTCCAAGGGGATTCCATGCCCTCTTCTAGTCTCCACAGAAAATACATGTGAGGGTGCATGTACATACATGCAGACAAAATACTCATACACAAAAAATACATTAATTTTTAAAAAAGAAAAGCAAGGCTCAAAGCTCAGAGCCGCTGGGCCATGGAGCTGAAGGGCTCTAGTAAGGGCTCACACTACCCTGGCCGTTCCTCCTATTACAGAATACACAGCCCACGTTGGGAACCACACTGAGCAAGGCAAGCTGGTACCAGGGGCTGTGAGGAGTATGGCCTGACAGACCCAGCATGTCGGCAGAAGTCCACCTGTGATGTTGTGGCTGCTTAGCCACTAGCCCTGCCCTGGTGGCTCCTCTATCCATCACCTGGCACAGAGGCCTTAGTGAACAGTTATGTGACATGAAAGAACCTCCAACGAGATGCAGGCCCAGAGCCCTTGATTGATCGAGTGCTCAGAAGATGAAAATGAAAGGTTAATTGGCAGCTCTGACCCTGGACTCTTCCTGGTATCCCTCAGCCTCTCCTTCCTGGGATGGAGCCCTCAGCAGGAGGAGAAATCTGCTGACCACGCTTCCCAAGTGATCTTTCAGTCCTGTCAGGGACCACACTGCTGGTGACGGAGTTCAGATGTTTGGTGAAGATTAAATTTCAGGACCTAATGCAGTCTGACCTTGGGAAGGAAATGGGCCTTCCTGTACAGTTCACAGACTTAAATACCGTCAGAGTTTAGGTCCATGGGAGGTCATCCGTGGCTGGTCAGTGCACCTTGTGGGGTGAACAAATAGTAGGTACCACTTGCCACATACCCAGCACTCACAGGCCTGGTTGAGGTTGCAAAAGAGGAGCGTCTTATCACCCTTGGTGGCTGGAAGAAGCCACCTCCTCCAGGTAGAAGGCTCTGAGCCCACCTGGTAGGCCAGGGAGTGGGGGAGGGGCAGAGCACAACCTCAGGTAAGGCCAAAGCCTGTAAACAATCATTTGATTTGGGGCGTTTCAACGTCCCATTATGTCCCATTACTCTTGTGGCACAATAGCTTACATAAACGAGAATGAATAATTCACACAACGATTTGGATTAAGTAAATAAAAGATGGGTTCCACTGTGGAGGTGTCACTGCCAGGGGGCTGTCATATAGCCTCTCTGGAGGTGACCAGGAATGGAAGCTGCTTTGAGGCTTCTTCTAGGCTCAGGGGCTCTGTGGCGACATAGAGAGCCCATCTGGCTCTGGGGAGACGTTAGGCACACTCTCTGGTCTGCAAGTGACAACATGGAAAGGAGAGTTGGGGTCGTCACAGGGGTAAAACCCAGGGCACTCTCAGCCATCAGCCTCAGACTGGGCTGCTGGCTCTGCTTTTAGGGTAACACTGGGGTTATTCAGGGACCAAGACCTAAGGAAAGGCAGATCTACTCTGGGGAACACTTTTCTAGCCCCCCCCCCCCCCCCCCCCGCCAGACAGCCTGTGAACCAAGTTCTTACTGTGTGGGCCACTGAGGCCCTTTGAGTCCTGGTGCTCTTCTGTCCTGTCACAGGCCTTGTCTACCCTCACATCCCACCATGGTGACTAGAAGACGCCGTCATGGCCATCCTCCTGTCCTACACAGCACTCTTCCCATGTGTCCCCAGGCAGGGCCATCCATGCCCCCCTTTCCTATACCCTCTGTAGGGACAGGCTCAGCTGTCCTGGTGTGTGACAGGGGACAAGTGGGATTCAGGGAAAGGATGTGACTGCATACCAGAACCCAGAGCCATACTCAGGGGTGGCAGAGGCTGTATGGGTGGGAGTGGGGCTTCCAAGGTGGCCCTGTGGCACCCAGGACTGGCTCCTGGACCTCACCCCTCTGCTCCCTGCCCCACCTGCTGACTGGCTCCACCAGTCCAGGGAGGCCACAGGGCGGCTCTGAGCTGACACTCCTTACTGCCCCGACCCCATATCTGCTTCTTGGGCTCACAGGAGACAGTTGTGAAAGTTCTGCAGGAAAGACGGGGACAGAAATAGCCTTCATTCTGACAAAGGCAAGTGGTGATATACACTCCTGCCTGAGAGCAGAGATGTCAGGATACACAGCATTTATGGGCTCGGACCTTGGAGACCCACCTCCCAGCCTCCAGTCTGCAGAATGGCTGACACTAGTGGGACGGAGGGCCACGTGTGAGGTAGACACAGAGACCTGAGACAGAGGTGACCAGACAGAAGATGCCCTCAGGGCTCACAGTGCATGCCAGTCTGTGCATGGGAACTTGAGTGCCAGGTGTGGACCAGGAAAGGGTATCGGTCCCTATACCCTCATGCTGCAGCTTAAGGGTTATGTTAGCTGCAGCTCCTCCAGCATTTGCCATGCCCAAGGGACTGTGGGCCTCTCTGATGGAGACCCTGCAGTCAGCCCTGCAGGAAGAAGGAAATCCAGCTCTTCTTGCTCTTGGGAGAGAAACACAACCTCAACAGAAAACATGCCAAAGGGCTAGGGACATGGCTCAGCTGGTAAAATGCTTGCCTTATATGTATGAAGCCCTGGGTTCTATCCCCAGCACTGTAAAAACTGGGCATGATGGTGCATACCTGTAATCGTAGCATTTGGGAAGCAGAGGCAGGAGGATTAAGAATTCGAAGTTGGGGGTTGGAGAGATGGCTCAGCAGTTAAGAACACTAGCTGTTCTTGCAAAAGAGCTGGGTTTGGTTCCCAGCACCCATATGGTGGTGGCTAACAACCATCTGTAACTCCAGTTCCAAGGGATCCAGTGTCCTCTTCTGACCTCCTTAGGCATCATGGGTGCACTTACATACATTCAGACA